GTCTTCATTTGGGATGTATTTCCAAACTCAGAATGCTAAAACCCTCTCATTATCAAATTTAGGGAGCTGGTATCTAACAGCAGATAAAGCAGAAGCCCAAGCACTAGGCTTTAATTTGTGGCAGATAAAGAGCCTGGTGCCACAAAAGAGGCAAATCTTTTTTATTAAGTTCTACAGCAAATTAGAAGGAAAAACCCTGCAGACCCCAAGATGTTATGGTCTATTTTAACTTTTGCTGCAGCCTGCAATCTTTATCCATTTTATCAAAGAATTAGACATGCCTAGCAGGCATGATGGCATCTATTTTTTTTTTTTTGCCAGTTTAGTACTTTTCCTCTCATAAAATACTCTAAGCTTGTCTCCAATAATCCTCCCAAATCTCTAACCCTTGCTGAGACAAGGAAGGCAAAAACGACCAGCCTACAAATACACTTCAGTTTTAATCTTCCTATTGAGAAAGTTATCGTGCCAAGGCCACGCTAAACCCCAGTTTTCTGCTCTGACTTTTCATTTTTCCACTCTCCAGCTTCCCACGTGACTGTTTCAACCAAGGAGAGACAGGGTAAAGCACAAGCAAATACACACCAGAGGAGGGGAATGTGGATTTTTTTTTTTTTCAGCTTTTATAAATCCTATGACGATAATCTCCTAGATGGTTTGCTGGGGAGTGTCAGCAGGCCCATGTTTTTTCCTCCCAGAAAGCAGAGTCACTTGAAATTCCTGTGCACTGCTCAGGGTTTTCAGCACATCCATAGTAAACAAAACCCAGAGGAGCTCTGGAAAAATTATCCAAGTCCCACTCACACTCTAAAAAATCTGTGTGTGTCTCTGTCCTCATCAACAGAGGCTCATTCCCTACATGGTTCTTTAAAAAGAAAGAGCTTCCACGAATTTCAGAACTGCAAATGCTGGATATGCCTTAAAATCTGGATCTTTGCTGCCTGGGATCTTAATTACGGGTCTGGGATTCCTGCTTCAGACGCCCATTGCACACCTGCCCTCAGCAAGAGAAAATCCTGGAAATTCCCAACTGTTGCTTCCTGTTCAAGCTAAAAAACAAACATAAAATCCCACCTCGAGATTACCCACCTAACAAAGCACTGATAAATCAGAGCATAATACAAAATACAGATCATAGACTTGTTTTTGCATTGATTTCATTCTCTGTCTCTGCTCAGATAGGCAGGTAGGAAGTGCAATCACATCCTTACTTTCTCCAGAAAAATCAGGTTTATGCAAATTTTACTGGGAAAAAGTTCCCCCCTGGGAGGGTGGGCAGGCCCTGGCACAGGGTGCCCAGAGCAGCTGTGGCTGCCCCTGGATCCCTGGAAGTGTCCAAGGCCAGGCTGGACACTGGGGCTGGGAGCAGCCTGGGACAGTGGAAGGTGTCCCTGCCCATGGCAGGGGTGGGACTGGATGGGCTTCAAGGTCCCTCCCAACCCAAATCCTTCTGGGATTCCATGAATTTGCATAAATAAACATATCCCTGCCACTGCCATTCTTCCCTGGTGTTTAGGGATATCAATGTTTTTGATACAAAAGTAGGAACAAAGTGATTCAACAATTTAAACAGCTCTGGAGAACTCCGTCTGTCCGACTGGTATTTGAGGACGTGGAAATGATTCCTGAAAATTTATTCCCAATTTTAAACAGTGACAGATTGAGAATCAGTACTTTTTAATTCAGAGATTTAAAAGACCATCAACAGGTAAAAAAAACCAGACCGGTGGATTTTATTTTTTGTCACTGAAACACGAATCTTCTGTTCACCGAAGGGATGCACAGCATGAGAACCCAGCAGCATCCAAAGGGACCAAGGGATTGGAATTTGGAATCAGCAAAAAGAAAATACTACCGAGTACAACAGGAGCCGGATTTCGGATGGGATATTCCTACGGACTGAACACGAGAACTGATGGATTTTAAGCAGCAAAAGTGAGCCCGGCTGATGAGGAAGATCAGGGCACGGGCAGGAGGGAGCTAAGTCGGGACAGGAGCAGGGAGAGGAATGGCACATGGAGAGACTTGAGGAATTGCGGAGGAAACAGAAAGTACAGGGAGCACTTGTGCTGCGGAAAGGGAAACCGGGGGCCTCTGCAGATACCATCGGGCCCCAGAGGCAGGGCTGGAAGACAAACGAAGATCAGAACCTGCGCTGAAGGCAGGAGAGAGCTCACAGAGGAAGATATAAAAGTTGTGTTTCCCTTCTGACAGCCCCCACAGCTGCTTTGCGGAGAGCCGGGAATGCGCTCGGAGCTCCTGGCTGGAAGCACGCTGGGTCCCGACTACCTGAGGAGCAAGGTCTGGCAGCTGCGCAACATCTGGATTCCCAGCCAGGTGGAACTCTGCTCGTTCACACCACAGCTCTCACAGCACGGGTGAATGAATGTCCCACTTCCCCGAAAGGGAGAGCAGTGCCAATCCCACGCGTTGGAGAACTTCCCAAAAGCGGGCACTGCCCTGGATTGCACACGCACGTCCCCGCCTGAAGTCTGCGCCTCCGTGTCCAAGCACAATTCAATTTAGCCCCAGTCCAATTATCATTTTAATTATGCTTTCAGGGCAGGTGCTGAAGGCCTTTCAAAGAACTGCTGCTCCAAAGCATTCCCACTCTCCTAAGAAATGATTTTTCAGGAGCAGCATCCCCTCCCTGCCCCGTTCCTCCCCTTTAGCCCTGCCGTGGGTTACGGATCGTGGGGACCAGGAAATCTGAACTGCAGATTTTAAAACCCCCTGGGTAGCTCACCTACTGCAATGCAGGCTCACCGTGGAGTTTGACAGATGAGGATCAACCAAAAGCATCTCCACAAATGTTCTCCCTAAATGACTGCATCCCAGTTATTCCACATAAATTTTTTTGCAATTTAGGTTTCTCACTCCAGGGAATATTTTCTGAACAAACTCCAAACACATTTTGCTCCCTTTGTTCCAGAGGATATATATCTACCTGTCCAAAAAAGTGTGTCTTTGCTGAGAGCCAGGAATTTTAATTAGCTGAAGAATATACCCCAAACCCCCCAGAACTGGACAATAATATCCATAACACTTACCCCACATTCCCTAAAATAAAGCACTTTTTGGGAGAGAAATATTCCTTCTAAAAATCACCAACATTTGCTTTAGTAAATAAAAAGTTGGGATGCTAAACAGGATAAGTTGGTATTTGCAACTTAGAGAACAAAAGTTAATCAGATTTAATATAAATGTAATGCAAAATACACAATGCTGGCTGATATAATTCCATTTAATAACTATGTATGTATAACAAGAATAAATACACGGATCATAGTTGTTGTTTGGGGGTTTTTTGAAATAGACTCAACTACAAAGGTCAAGAGAACCCACGAAACAGTTAAAATCCAGAAACTGAAAGAACTGAAAAAAAAAGAAAATAAGCATTTGGCCTCTTCATACTAATTTCCTTTTTCTTTACATTGCTCAACATCGCTCCTCAATTTGAGTTCTAATCAACAACCACTTCACAGCTCACATTTTATGAAATAATGCAGTTGATGCAATCAAGTCCAGCAAAATGTTTCCCTAAAGATGTTTCCATCATTCACATTCCTTTAAAAAAAACACACACACACACAGACAAAAAAAAAAAAAAAAAGGCTCTGACTTCCTCCATCCCTATTTAACAGCAAAAATAAACACACCACTGCATCTTAAATCATATTTCGATTAAAACAGAAATAGCATCTTTCTGGGGTTTCTTTCTGCTTAGCACAACGTCTTTGTCCAAGAGAAGGGAAAAAAAATACCCTCAACCTGCTCATTTTTCTGCACTTGACAATAATGAGCACCAAATAAATAAAATTCAGCCTATGGAAATACACACCATAACCTGAAAGCTCATCACGATGTGCAGTGGGGGGAAAAAAATGCCCCCAAAACCCAACCCGGTAGAAAATCTCTTCCTGCTAATGAATATTTATTTCATTTCCATACTTCCCAGCTCCTCTGCTTTCTATAAAGGACTGAAACCAAGCTCCTTTTTGGCATTATTCACCCACAATATAGCGATGGACTTCGCTGCCCTGAACACCACAATGCCAACAACAGAGCATGCAAGCAATCATCGCTAAAAGGAAATTTTAAAAATACAAAAAAAAAGAGAGAGAAGGGGAAAATATCCACATTTTCATGAAAACCACCGGAATACGCATTTTATCCAGGCGGAAAATCTTAACACCGCCTTGCATTTCCCAACCTGGACGTCCCTGCTTTCATTCCTGTGGATGCTGCGCGCCGGCATCCCCCGGCTCAGCAACCCCTTTAACCATTTTATAACCATTTTATAAGCATTTAAAAAGCATTTTACCCCCCAGGAGGGCTGCGGGACAGGCTCAGCCCGGCCCTTCCCGGCGCACGGAGTTGCCGGCGGGCTCGTCAATATTGCCGGCACCTCCACGTGCCCCTCGGGATATTTGGGGGGGGGGTTCGCCCATCTCTGGGGGGGCACCCCCAGCCCGGGCATCCCATCCCTTCTGGCCAAGGGTTCAGGTGAGCCTGGGAAGGAGGGACAGCCCCAGAGAAGGAGGGACAGCAGATTTGGGGACAGCAGATTTGGGGGGGATAGCCGGTGCGGGGACAACAGGCTGCACTGGGGGGGACACACAGCGGGCTCCAGGCGACAACAGCCCCCGGGGGACAGGGTCTGTGACAGGGGGGGACACACGGCTGGTTCCCCGGGAGAAGAGGCTCCGAGGGGACACAGGGACAGAGCCCCCGGGAGAAGAGGCTCCGAGGGGACACAGGGACAGCAGGCTCCGTGCGGACACGGGCTCTGCCGGGGTCCCCCCGCCCCAGGGCTCCGCTCTCCCCGCCGGGGCAGAGGGGATGCTCCTCCGCCGCCCCTTCCCTCCGTCTCTGTGCGCTCCGCGGCTCGGGGTCAGCCCCCGGCCGCCCCCCTCCATCACCGCGGTGCCCCCACGCCGCCACCCCTTTCCCGCCGCTGTCACCCGCGGGTGTCCCCCGTTCCCTTCCCCTCCTCTTACCTGCGGCTGCTCGGGCGGCGGCGGCCCCTGTGCCGGTACAGCAGCTCTCCCTCTCCTTCTCCTTCTCCTCCTCCTCTTCCCGCTGCTCCCGCAGCCGCCAGCCGGGAATGGGGGGGGTAGGGGGGGCAGTACCACCAGCGGGACCGTTACTGCCGCCGTCGCTGCGGGGACTACAACTCCCGGCAGAGCTCGCGCGCCACCGCCGTGGCTCGCCGCTGGCCGCCCCGCGCGAGGGGTCATGGGTAGTACAGTCTGGGAGGCAGGCGGGGGAAGAACATAAGGCGACAGGGCCCGGACAGACGCGGGGCGTGCTGGGAGGTGTAGTAAGGCTGGGGTAAGGCCGCCGAGCATGGCGGGAGTTGTAGTTCTGCAAGGCATGACGGGAGCTGAAGTCCGCGAAGGCTGATGGGAGGGAGAAGGCCGCGACTGGAATCCCACCGGGATGTGCCAGGTGGGGCTCCACGGCCATCCAGGAGCTGACCCCGGCTCCGGGAGACCCTTCCCGGGTCGCCTGGCGGGCGCAGGGCCGCGGGCCGGTAGCAGGAGGGGAGCGGGGAGCCGCGGGGCCCGGCCTTGCCCTTTGGCACTGTGCCCCGTCCTGCTCCTCGCACCCAAAACTGCCCCTCACCCTGTCCGGGGCGGCAGGGCAGGATTTGGGAAGAGATGGGGAATTCCTAGGGGTCTCCACACCAGCAGGGCACTCCCCCCACCCCACATCCTTCACAACACTGGTTGCTGTTCCATGTTGTTATAAGTAACTATGTAGTTGTTGTCTTTTGCTATTATTAGCTTTTGTACTATAAAAGTACAAATATATACGTATATCTACTATATATTTTACATTATGTACTATATCAAAATACAGTTTTTGTATAGTACAGTTTGTAGTCTCTTTTGACATAGTATAATTTGTCAGCTTTTTATGGTTAATACCCTAATTCTTGTGTAGATTGTATATCTCAGTGTGATAAATGCATTATAGTTTAGGCTTTCACAAAATATTAAACCCATATGCTGTGTATTATAACATCAGCTTTTGAAGAAATAATTGTAGCTGTGAAATAATAACTGATGCCTTTATTTTTGTAACTAACTGGCAACAGTAAAATAGTTAATGTTGATTAAAAGTTCTTGTAGAAATAGCTAGAACGTCTGTATAAGATAACATTGAAAAGAACCAAACAAATAACACCGAGAAAGCACAAGAAAAAATTTACCAGTAACCCTTCAGCTGCCAGTGTTAAACCACAGACCAAGAAGCCTTGTAAAAAAACAAAATACAAGACTTTCAAAATCACATCTGCCTTGTAACACGTACTCTAAGAAGATGAAGTCAGAGGTCAGACTAAGAAAAAAATTTCAAAACATGTAAACTAAAAAATATGTATAATATTCAGTGGTATGCAATGACAAAGTGTATAAGAAGAGTTGTTATAATTCACAGTGCTCTTCTAGCAGTTGGTCAATCACCCCAGCACTAAAAACCCTCCTTTTATCCCTTAGTAAACCTTTAAAATTTTTAAAGAGTAAACTTTGCTTCTCACAACGTGTTTTGCTGCTTTTTTCTGGTGGAGATTGATGCTGTAAATTGTGTTTCCTGAGCCGGGGATGTGGAACACGTCCCTTGGGAATCAGGATGGGGGGTAACAAGAGCCTGTTTTCCACCCCTGGGATGTGCAGCGAGGGTGTGGAGGGGATGACAAATGTGCCAGAGGGAATATTCCTTTCTCCTGCAGGATTCCAGCAGCACCTATGGGACACAGCTACAGGAAAAGGAGCATCCAGAGGGATTTGGGGGGTATTTAACCAGGAATAACAGGTGACACCTACAGCTGTCCCCAGGTTCAGCTCTAGAGCTTCTGACTCCACAGAAGCGAAATCTGTGAAAGAAAATCTGGGGAGACCCCCTGTGGAAGACACAGATTTCCTGAGATGTGGCAAGAGTTCCAAAATTCCTTTGTTTCCTACCCAAAACCCAAGGCTGTGGCTGGGATGGGGGAGATCCCCACCAGCATCACTGCAAGCAGAGCTGGAGGAAAAACAAACTGGAGGCAGTGAACTTCATAGATTTTTATTAAGCAGCACCTAATTGCTATGGAAAACGGGAAGGAAATCCAGGATTTGGTATTCCCACATGGCATCCTCTCCTTTTCCTGGCTGGAAATAATGTCCTGGCTCTTTGGGTCACCATTTCCACCCAGCATGCCCCGAATTTATCCTATTTAACATAAAACAGCCCCACCCCAGATTACAAAAAACATTAATAGACCAAGCCCTCCAAATCCCACAACAGCACCATTTCCTTCCCAAGAGGAAAACCACAACGGAAGAGTTTTGAGAACAATTAATCCCAAATTGACGTGTGTCTGTGTGGAGAGGCAGCCCAATACCAGTGGAAAAATAAATCCTAATTTCAGCCCAAATCCCTTCCTAAGGGAACTTGTTTCCTGATTCATTGCAGGACAAAGTCTCTGGCCCCAGCCGGATTTCCAAATCATTTCCCTGATTTGAGGAACATTCAGCACCACCAGGAGGTTTTGCAGCCCCATAACGAGCACGGGTTATGCACAAGGCAGTGAGCATGGCCTGGCAGAGGGGGTGATTCCCATTTTACTCCTTCGGGATCATCCAGCAGGCTGCTGGATCAATTTAATTCCTTCTGCTGTTTGTCACAGAAAAGCCAGCGCTGGAGGAAAAGGAGGGAAAAGGGCTCCACATTGAAAAACGTGCTGGAATAGAATTTTTTTAATATTAACCATTGTCATGTGCTCAATAAACATCTTTTATTAACAGCCCAGCCAGGACTTGTGTCTTGACTTCCCCAATGTCCCAGAGCCCAGGACAGGCATTGATTTTTATCCAGAGGATTGCTCCCTCCACTTGGAAATTTATCTCAGACGAGCACTTCGGTGCTTAAAACTCGACTTGTTCCTGATCTCTGTTTTTTTGGCATAAAACACCTCCTCAGACCCACTCCCAGCACCGCAGGAAAATCCTGCATCCCCCAAGCATCGCCTCGGGAGCAGCAACTCCTCGCCCTGGGTCTCCAAATTCGGGATGCTGTCCTGACCCACGCTGCTGGATGTGCTCCGGATCCGGAGGAAAGGGAGGATTTGAGGAGAAGGCGAGGATCGGAGCGGCTGGACCAGCCACGGGCACCCCCGGCCGCACCAGCCCGGCAGCATTCCCGCCGCGCAGGCGCCGGGCAGCATCTTTTTGGGGATAAAGCTCCGGGAAGCGGGGTTTTTCCTTTGTCCGGCACTCGGGGATGCTGGTGCCGGACTACAGCTCCCGGCGAGCCGCGCGGGCGGGCAGAGCCGGGCGGCGGGAGCGGAGCGCAGCGCATCCCGCAGCGGGCACCGCCGCCTCCGCCCGGTGAGGGATGCGCGGGGCGGCTGCGGGGGCCGGGGGGCGCCGGGGATGGGGCACCGGGGCACGGACACTGCGGGAGGGGACGGTACTCGGAGGTGCGGGGCTCCTGAGGGGGGCAGAAACGGTGCCACCAGATGTGGGTACCGAGGGATTGTGAGCGGAGCAGAGGGACGGGGGGACCTGGGGGTGCCAGGGGGTAGGGGTGTCCACGGGCTGCGCAGTTTCCCGGGGATAGGGCAGTACGGGTGATGGTACCGGGACTGCAAACTCCATGGGGACCTGGATACTCGGGGATTCAGGCACTCGGTAACGCAGGCACAGAGATACTGGGGGGTTTTGTGCCTCGCCGTGCCCCCGGAGATGGTGGGAGATCCTGGAGGCCATCCCAGGGTGCCTAGCACTGGGAGCTGGGATTCCCAGCTGATGAGTGGATAGGGGGGCTGTGGCCAGGGAGCTGCTCCTGCCTGTCCCTGGGGTGTTGGCTCTGCTCGGGGACCTGGGGAGCGATGACTTCATGGCCTTATTAAGGACTAATTTCCACCCAGGCAGGGAAAATAAACAAGTGTAGGTGTCATTTAGCATGGAAAGTTACTGGGGCTGTGGGGAGGCACTGCCCGCTTTCATACAGTGGCCCGGATTTCTCCACGTACCTCCACGGGACGATAATCCCTAAATCCCAATGAGATTAAAGCAGAAAGGAAGGTGGCTGGGGTGCCTCCTTCGCGCTGTTTCCCAGATGACGAAATCCCGCGTCTGGCTAACCCCGATTAACCCGGGCACTGAGCTCATCCCCCCAAAATACCAGGAGCAACAAGGGTGAATCTCCATCCCGCTTTTCCCCCGGAGGCTGTGGGGAGGTGGGAGCCATGGGCAGAGCCGGAGGCGAGGCAGGAGCTGCTATTTTAACCCCACTATTCTTCCCATCGCAGCAGATCCGCCGAACCCTGCAGCAGCCATGGCGCTGGTGAAGAGCGGTTGGCTTTGGCGGCAGAGTAAGTGCCACTCTCCAGCTTTCCGGGTTGGGAGCCCCCCAAAAAACCCAGAGAGGGTTGCTGGGAAGAAGTGGTGGGGTGCGGGGGACACAAGGAGCCCCGACCTGGGCGGGTAATCCAGGGCAGCAGGGAGATTGTGGCGGATTTACGTAAGCGGAGAGAGGGGCTGCCTGCTATGAAAACACTCACGGCTCCATGTCCGGGGCTGGATCCGCTCCCGTGCGCTCGGCAGGGCAGCACCCAACGGCCTGATGGCTTTTTTGGCAGCCTTTTCCCATTTAAAGCCACCTGGTCACGCTGCCCTGGATGCTTGCGCCAAGCACAGGTGTCCTGTGGGATGCAGCGGCGCACAGGAGCTGGAGGGATCCAAGTTTGGGGGATGAGGTCGGGTCTTGTGAGCGTGCTGTGAGTCCCACTGGGCTCGCTGGGGTCCTTCACCTGCTCCCTGTCCCAGCAGGCTCCATCCTGCGCCGCTGGAAGAGGAACTGGTTTGTCCTCTATCTGGACGGCAGCCTGGTTTACTACCACGACGAGACGCAGCGGGACATGGACGGCCGGATCCACATCAAGTACAGCTGCCGGGACGTGCGGATTGGCCGCGAGTGCAAAGGTGAGCCGAGCCCCTGCTCCCGAGCCCTGCATTCCCAACCCCAGCCCGCGGGTGGCTGTACCCCTCCTAAACCATGCTCCACCTGTGCACAGCCAGCATACCTCCAAAATAACCCAGGCTGCCTCATCCACCCCTCCTTGTTCCCAGCCATGCTGGATCATCATCCCTGCCATTGCTTTCCCTGGAGGGAGGAAGGAAGGAGGAATTCTCCTCCTGGTTTGTGCTTGTAACAAACAGGATCCCACGGGCCTGACTCATCGCTCACGTCTCGCACAAACAAGGGGAACAAAGCAGCAGCTTGGCTGGGCCCCGCAGCCCACGGCCTGTGCACAAAGCGCCTTTCTCGGGCTGGGAGCAGTGCTGGGAGCACAATCCCACAGCTTTGTGCTCACCGGAGGGTCCTGCCAAGCTTGCACAACGGGGGAAGACACAGGAGCCTCATGGATTTAAGGTTTTGCTCTTGCCTGAGCTCACGATCCCACTCCAGCAATGAGCATCTCCTGTTCCTACAAAATTTGGGTGCACTCTGGCAAGTTCGAAGCAAAGGCAGCTCAGCCCCGTGGCCACGAGCAGGTTTTTGGTTCTGCCCTGGGGGTGGAGGTTTCTGCCCATCAGCTCATTCCTTGTGTTGGTTTTTAACCTGGGAGAGCCTGACTGCATCCTCCACGTGGAGATGGAGGCAAAACTAAACCCCACCAGCTCCTGTGCCAGGGAGAATTTGGAGCCCGGGGAAGGACTCCGGGTCATGTCCTTGGCCGAGGCTGGGTCCCACCCCATCCTTTCCTTCCCCCAGACGTGCAGCCCCCCGAGGGGAGGAGCCGGGACTGCCTGCTGACCGTGGTGCTGCGGGACGGCTCCAAGACCACGCTGTGTGCCGAGAGCGAGGACGACGCCGTGTAAGCGACTTTTCCATCCCGATTATCCCAGACTGGAAAGAGTCCGGGCCACACGAGAGCCCTGTCCCATTCCCACCACATCCCACCCTTACAATTTAAACTTACCCCAGCACGTGTTCTCAAACACACTTGCAGGGCAAAAAGTGCGGGAGGAGATTTGGGGTTCTCACTGGATAATCCAGAGCCAAAAGCAGCTGTTTTTAAGCAGTTGGTCTCCTGTTGGGGGAATTTCCTCATGGGTAAGAAATCCCCTCTTAGCCTGACTGAGGAGAAGAGTTTTCATCACTATTTGGAAATTAAAAGTCTGAATGTAAAGTCCTCCCTGGCTTGAGGAAAACTGTCCTTTTTAGCACTGTTCCACTTCTATTTATTTCTCCAAGATTTTTTTTAAAGAAATTTACTTTTATAAAAATTGCTTTTTTAAAAAGAAAAAAAAATTTTAAAAATTAGAAGTGGCAAACGTTCAGCTGTGGCCAAGCAGAACTTCATCAGCTGAGCTTGACCTCAGCTGAGTGGAACTTCATCCATTATGTGCTCTTCCCCCCAAATTTAGGTGTCACTTTCCTGCCTGCCCTTATTTTAGCCAGGGCCATTCCCAGAGACTGCATTCCCAATCTCAGCTGTTATTAACTGTTAGTTAATAGGGAATTAAATAGTGCTGACCCCATGGGGAGGAAGGGGATAATTCCCACCCCTTCATCACCCACCAAAAATGAATGCCTCTCTTTTGTTTGCAGTGCTTGGAAGATGGCTGTGCTGGAGGCTAAATCCACCCCGGTGAGGCTTTGTCCCCCTGAGCAGGGACACCATCCTGGCATGGGATTTAGGATCCAGGATTTGGGCAAGGAGAGGTTACCCCAACCCTGCTCCTTCCCAGGGCTGACACTGAGCTTTGGGGGCGCTCCCCAACAGCCACTGTGCAGCCTCAGGGCACAGAGAATAAAGTCCCTGAAGCCACAGGGAAGGAGGTGGGGAGGGACTGGATGCCACCACTGATGGCAGGTGACAGAGCCCCGGGGACCCTGTGCACTGGTGGAGGGTGACAGGAGTAAAGTGACAGGGACACAAGGTGATGGGCACACAGGTAAGGAGACAAGCACAGGCTGTCCCCAGCCCTTGGGACTGTTCAGATTGCCCACCCAGGGGACCCAGGGCCCTGAATCCCCCCCACCCACTGCTCCAGGTGCACGTGTACGACCCCTACGACGACGACTACTACCAGACCGTGCCCCTGGACTCGCACCAGGCCGCCTACATCAGCTCCGGCCACTACGGCCACCAGTACGGAGGTGGGTGGCCCGCTGGCCCTGGGGGTGGCCCGCCGGCCCTGGGGGTGGCCCGAGGCCGTTCCCCTGTCACTGCGGGCCCGTTTTCCCTTGCAGCTCCCGGGGTGACCCATGTCATCGTGCGTGAGGATCCCTACCGCGTCTCCGGGGACCAGATGGCGCTGGGGCTGCTGGCGGGGGCCGCCACCGGCGCCGCCCTGGGCTCCTTCATGTGGATGCCGTGCTGGTTTTAGTGGCCACCAGGCTGGGCCACAGCCCCCCACTGCTCCCCTGCCCTGAGCCCCCCGAAGCCTAACCCAAAACACCCTGGGGACAGAGTCCCGCACACGCCCTGCTCCCAGCCCCAGCTTCTGCATTCAATAACCCCCAAGTGCTTCAGAGCCCCCCCAAAACCCACTCCAGAGCCCCACAGCATCCAATCCCCATCGGAGAAGTGCCCAGGCAGCTGCCGGGGTTGTTGGCAGAGCTTCCCCTTCCCAAATCTCCACAGGGAGCTGGCTGCAGAAATACCAGGTTTGGGAGCAATGGGACTTAATTTGGGGGAAAGTGGCTGGATCTTTTTTGGCTGGGTGAACCCCACAATGCAGGGCATTTTCTGGGAGAGGCTCCAGCACCAGAGCAGGAGCTGAGATGAGGGCAACCACAGGGATGCTGAAGAGGTGGGTAAAAGATTAAGGAGGATGAAAACCTCTGCAGGATTTCCACCCCTTTCCAACTCGCACCACTTCCCCAAGTTGGAGAAAAGGTGCAAAACCCTCAGGAATTGGAGTTAAACCCTTAGGAACTAGGCTGAGAAGAGCCCAGGGAAAATCCCAACCTCTCCAGCCAAGTGGGAGGGACACACAGTATCCTCAGTTTCACCCTGATTTTTGGGAGGGGGAGAAGGGTAGCTCTCCATGGGGACCAGGGAGCCTTTCTGGCAGCCAAGCTGGGATCTTCACAGCAGGGATTTGGGATTGATGGGAGGACACATGGTCAGGCCAGGGGACAAGCAGCAGCTCAGGGTTTTGGTTGGGCAATGGAAGAGGTGAGGAACAGCTGCCAAGTGTCACCCCTAGAGCCAGGATGGTATCCTGGAACCACGACTGACATAGAATTTAGGAATTACAAACCCCACAGCTGAATAGAAAACCACCAGTGACACCAGCACCCCAGCCTGCTCCTGCCTTTAGAGCCCCGGGTCAGTTCATCCCTGTGCCCATCAGGGGATTGGGATATCCCAACACACCATCCTCATCCTCTCCTGCATTCCCTGCCTCCCTCCTGCTGAACACCCGCTCCCAGAAAGAGAAAAAAAAAATACAAAGAAACCTCTTTGAAGTCTAATAAAGGCAACGAAAAACCAGCCCTGGCCTGCAGGTGAGTGAGGACAAGAAGGGAATGCTCAGCCTCGGCCACCTCCGGGGGTGGAGAGGATTGTGTCCCCCTGAAGAGCTGCCCAGGGGTCACCAGCTCCCCTGTGCCTCCCTGTCCTTCCAGCTGGGAGCTCTGGGGTCACACCTCCAGCCTCTGGCTGTGGCACAGTGATCCCAAAGAGACCAAAGGGACAAAGCTGCGCCAAAAACCCTGCTCCTGTGCAAGAGAACCAGGCGCTGCCAGCCCTTCTTTGGGCATCGAGGTGGCCGAAGAGAATCCCTGCTTCTGTTCAACGTGCAGAGCAGGAGCCAGGCCTGGCTCCCAGTTTCTAAGCCAGGGATTCAGCCCCTCCGTCCCTCTGTTAATTCCAGCACAAACCCCAGCTCCCAAGGGCTGGAGAAGAGAAGGATCCAGCCCCACACACCCCACTGCATCCTCATTCATCCCTTGTGCCTGTGACCCCGCAGCACTCACTCCCCAGCATCTCTGCTCCTGGGACACTGATCCAGCACCCATGGCTACTCCTGCTGCAGGGCTGGGCACGGGAATGAACAACTCCCGTCACACGGGGCCACTGCCCCCATTTCCAGCCTGACACGTCCCAGCTGTGTGTGCTGGCATCCTAAAATCCCCATGTGCCGGGCTGATACTCCAGCGTGGGCAGCAGGGGAGGGGGATTCTGCCCCTCTGTCCCTGTGCTCAGACCAGACCCCACCTGCAGAGCTGGCCCAGCCATGGGGACAACAGCAGGAGGACGTGGAGCTGCTGGGGAGAGTCCAGAGGAGGGCACAGAGATGTTCCAGGGATGGAGCCAGGCTGGGAGAGCTGGGGGTGCTCACCTGGAGAGAAAAAGGCTCCAGGGAGAGCTCAGAGCCCCTTCCAGGGCCTAAAGGGGCTCCAGGAGAGCTGGAAAGGAACTGGGGACAAGGGATGGAGGGACAGGACACGGGGAATGGATTCCCACTGCCAGAGGGCAGGGATGGATGGGATATTGGGAAGCTTTTCTAAGCAACTTTTGCCAGGGCCTCACCACCCTCACAGGAAAGAATTTTACTCTAATTTACCAATCCAATATCCATTTTATGATTCACCGGCCAAGGTACATAATCCCAGGTGAGATGCACCAGGAGATGGAAAGATCTGGAAACTTGTTACCAATAGCAACATGACCTAGAAACTGTCTGTCCTTCCCATGCCATGTCCAGCTGCTGACCTGCAAAGGCTCCTTTTCCCCAGCTCAGACACCCATGCTCCTCATCCCTGCAGTACCTGAACATCCCGAAACTGTTCCTGCTTCTCTGCTGCTGTTCTGGTCTCCCAGAGATCCAGGGACACGGAGCAATCCAGGCAAGGACAGTGCTGGACCAGCACGTGCCTCCAGCAGCAATTCCCAGGAAATCTTCACACTGCCACTGGGAACAGCTGGTGGCAGGCAGGCCCTGCACTAGAGAGCTAAATGAGGGAGTAATTAAATATTATAGAAATCATTTTGGAGGCACAAACAATAGAAACACAGCCCACAAAAGTACCTGGCTTGGTCTGCTCCACTCAGGAGGGGCTTCCCAGGAGCTCGTGGTGCTGGGTAGGACCAGAGGGACAAGGAGTGCTGGGGGACAGAGAGCAGGGCTGCCCTGCTCCATTCCCAGTTCCAATGCAGACTCGCAGCACTCCTCTCTCCCAGCAGGGAGAGCTGCTGAAGCTCCAGACATCGAGCAAAGCCCAGAACAATTCCAAGGCCCCTCGGAAAAACGGCATTCGCAGTAAGGAGCAGGCACAAGCCATTAACAAGCCCATCGTGCCCACAAACCTCCTGGAAAATGAATCCCACAATATCCCACGGCATTTGCTGGGGGCCACATGACCCTCACTGTGATCCAAACCCACTTCTCTGGAAATCAAGCAGCTCAGGAAACGCCAGATCAAATCCTCCAATTTCCATCCAGTCCCCCTTCCCAAACTGGTATAGATGCAGAAAAGGTCTGTGCCAAGCCACCGGTGCTGGGACCATCGATAAATCCCATTTTCTCCCTTCCCTGCCCTGTATCCGAGGACCCACTGGCTGTGGGAGATACACTTCAGCGCTTTAATTAGCAATAACTTTAATCAAGCCTTTAATAACATCGTCGTTCCAGACGTGCTCTCCGGGTGGCCGACAGCGAGCACTCCAAATAGCTCTAATTTATATCCAAACCCTCGGAAACAGGTGGCAAGCCTGGAAAATTCGATTTGGAAACAGCACCCTTCCCTCCCAAGCCAGCAGGGCAGAGCTGTGGGGCAGCAGGAGCATCATCACCCAGCTGCTTCCAGACCTTCCCTACCCCTTATCCTCCCGGGAAGGGCAGAGCTGCAATTCCACTGGCATTTCATTCCTAACACGCCCGAGCCCAGCTTTTCCAGCATCGACCTAGCTCCATTCTGCTCCTACAAGAGGATCCTAAATATTTTATAAAAAGCCACGTTTGACTTGACCATGCGCTCAGACCAGGGTGGGGAAGGGAAAAACAGTTAAGGGTGGGGGGGGGGAATAAAATCAGTATTTTTCCAGTTGATGAAAAATCCCTTAAACTGATGAAAAAACGATTCCATTGGTAAATCCCCAAGCCCAGCAAGCCTGGAAAGGCCGGCTCAGGCAGCAGGAGAACAGCAGAGGAGGAGGCAGCACAGATGGAAGGGAGAGGCTGCTCCAGGTCCGGGTGTTTGCAGCTGCCTCCCCGACTGCAGGAGCACTGGCAACCTGTGCCGCAGCCTGCCTACCCCATTTATCTTCCTTCAGAGCTGGGACATGCCCAGCATGGAAAAAGGAGCTGCTGCAGCAGGTAGGGAGAGCCCTTGCACTTCGGTTTGCTGAGGATTCGGGCGCTGGAAGCAGAACCGCAGCGAGGAGACGGCTCGGCTGCTGCAGCAGCTCTGCAGATGCTGCCAGGTGGATGCTGTGGCTCCTCCAGCCTGAAAAATCAGGGCTGATTCCACCAGCGAGCAAAGAAGCCATCAGCACTCTCCAACCCGAGGCAGATACTCCCTCCTGGATTTTGGAGCCGGGCTGGGAGAGGGAGCTCGAGCCACTGCAGCCATGAGCGAGCAGCCAGGAGCACCCTCCGGAGCTGGTGGGTGCCCCCCACCCATTCCCTGCTCCACAACAGTTCAATGCAGACCCCCCCTTCACCAGAGGGAAGCTGGGAATGGGGATACCAATGAGAGGTCAGAGTCCCAAGGCTACCCACAGCAGCAGCCACGAGGAATCGAGGAGGTGGTGTTTCCAGAGGCACCAGCTACAAGGAAAGAACTTTTGTCACTTCCCACAGTGACAAAAACCTTCTCCAGGAACTCGTCTTCCCCCCCATAACTGATCCCTAATCCGACCAATTTATTCATGGTCCTTTTAACAGTGAAGAGCTTGACCAAGAAACCAAGGTTTGGGCACACACCAAATCCAGGTAAACCCCTTCTCCACTGGCCAGGTTGGACGGGGCTTGGAGGAACCTGGGCTAGTGGAAGCCCACCTTGGCAGTGGGTGGCACTGGATAGGCTTTAAGGTCCCTTCCAATTCAACCATGCTGTGATTGCACGATTCTCTCCTTCGGGAAAACAAAGGGTCACTCACCCAGGAGCATCTGTTACTCACCTCCCCGGCCCGCAGACCTGGCTGCCATCTCCAGAGAGAAGGAGGCTTAAGGAGGCTCCTCCTCAGGGAAGCTGGCCTTGGTGCACCCGTGTCCCAGGGAAGCTGAGGCAGTGGTGAGGCCGCCCAAGGTGCCTTTGGGAAGGGACAGGAGGAAGCAGCTGGCTGCAAGGAGCGGGAAAGGAGCAGAAAGGCACAGCTCCATCCCCGGCATCGCTCCTCGGGCGCTGGAAACAATGGCAGAGACACCGCAGCAAC